CCTTGCCAGGACAAGGAAATGCGGCCACTCCAGTGATCAGCAGGCAGACAAACAAAGTATTACCGTAAGGTTCTGCGAAGTTTGTCAAACTTTAGTGCATTCTCTTCATTTCTAACGATAAGGTTTGCAAAATGATGCTTCATAAATCGAGCCTGAGGATCTGTTGATCTGCCGCCTTAGGAAGAGCCCGTCGTGGCAACCAAACAATGCCTCCTTTCTCAAACGATTATCGTATCGTTCTAAGCATTGGCAAAGAAGTTTAAAAAATGCTTATAAATAGCTCCTCCTCAGTAAAGGTTGGCGGTTAAGTTTGTATACTTTTAGTGTCTTCATCGCTCGCCTCATGAATCCATCACCTTTGAGGTGCTTTGTTAAGCATTGGGAGCACAAAAGGCGGGGAATAAGAACGAAAGAGGAAGTGCCATGTACTACTTTGTTTGTGTGACCACCTGTAAGACTGACGGTTGCTTCAACATTTGTCTGGCCTTTAGATGAAGGTGAAGCCCCCTTTCTCGGATTTACTTAACGCCTTCGTCTGCGTAGTGAGAAGTCTCGGGGCGCCACAATAGTGGCGTCCTGATCTCCCTAGTTTGTGATATGCTTCTGCGGTGCGAATGAAGTACACGTAATTCGAGTGGACGATTCTCTAACATCTGTGTTTGCTATCTTCTCCACTGCCTGTCTCCTTATTTTTTAAATTCGTGCATAGATGCCGGGGGTGGTACGCCGGAGAACCTCATTACACTCAGAGTGTGTTTAATCTGGCTTTACGCACGAGGCTTTCAACGTATATTCCTGGCCACAGGTGAAGGCCACCTCCCTGATTTCTGCTATTATACCAAAGGCGACTCCAGATCTAGTTGAATCTCCTTAGAAGGCCAAGTGCAGCCCTCCAGCCTCAACTGGCTCGTGGGTGTTTTATTTGCACCACCGAATGTAGTAATGGCTGTCGCGGAAGATGTGACGAGAGGAAAGTCGAGGACGTCTTCATGAGGAAGAGGAGGGCAATTTAACGCTTTGTTGATGTGAGCACCTGCATGATCGTGTCCTTGTACGTGTAGGTTGGACTCGAGGCCAAGCTCAAGCGCAATCCTCCCTCTTTCCCCTTGAATACGTCTATCCAATCCTAATTACTGCCATCTTATATCTGATGGAAAGACTCTGATCAATCCTTGTCTATGCCTGAGAGACTTGGCTGCCTTTCAAATTCCACCTCCAAATTTTTTAAACTGCCTCTGACTTACGCGGAAAGCTTGAACAACTGATACACAATACAGTTGCTGTGCTCACTTCAGAACTTTACTTATGCGTGTCTCGCATGCCTGTTTTCGTCGCCAACGCGCGCGGTGATTCTTGGCCTGCCCTGACACCACAAAACACCCCGCAGTACAAAAGTGCGCTTGTGTAGAGCGTCATCAGATACGGTCTTAGGGTTGCAGCGGAGTTTCCTCCAGAGCCATTATAAGCCATCTATTTGAAGACACTATAAAATAACAAACGTTATGAAATACTTCGCATTCACTTGTCCTGTTCCCTCATCCTTACCAATAGGAAGGGTTTGCCTGAGAAGTTCGTGACGCTTCAAGGTCAACAAGGCGAACGACGGCACTTTACTCGAAAGGAACGAGGACGCTTTACTTTAGATCAGAGCATGGATCTACTGGCACGAATGTACGACCGCAGAGTACGGCAAATGGCCTCTTTACTAAAGCTGCGGGCTAAAGGAGCATTGTGCGTCTGTTAATGTCTTTTCCTGCCACCATTTTCAGTGCCCAAAGCATGATTTAGCACCTTTATTATGGCCGTGAGTATTTTGGTGTGTAAATGACTCCTGGAAGGCAGTAGCAGACCAATCGGATCAAGCTCCATGATTAGAGTGTCGTCAGATCTTCATGGAGGAGAACCTCGTAATCCGACGAATTCCACATATCCTGTTCAGAGAAGCAGAAATGTAGGCAGACTGACAGGATCGCCTTCATGACTTAGGAGACCCAATAAACTACCCAGAAAGGGGCACACTTAGAATTTCTATGAACCATTGATTTCTTTAAGCTCCCTTCAAACCTATCACCTCGACCTAAGGCAATGAGACTGGTGGTGGGGAAAGGCGGGACTCCACGCATCCCTTCAGGGCTACTTATCATAACACATGGCAGATGAATACTGTTGGTAGGGAAGTGATTCAAGGACGGGTGATGCGGCGAACCCGATTAAAGTATAGAAAGATAACCGGTTTCCCCACTATCAGCATAAAACGCCTCATTGCTTTGGTGTGGACAGCAATTTTTCCCCTTCCCAACGGCGGTTTTAATGGCAAAGAACTTAGTCTTGGGGAAAAAAATACCAATTGTAGCCATGTACACACCACGGCGACAAACCCACATGAGTGTATTAATTCGTGCAATAGAAGAATGTGCTGATGTGAGCATCTGTTGGCTATTAAGGCTGGTCGGACTCTTTAGGATGGCAAACGTCTCCGAAACCACCACCACGTGTCAACCCGCTGTCAAGGCGCGCGTGACCAAATCGATGGGTCACAAGACAGGTGAAAGGCGAGGCGGGCGTAACATCAGCTTCCACACCCTGCCCTACCACTGTGTAGATAAGCCTCTTAGGAGGAAGAAAATCTTAAAAAAAGGCCAAAATATATAGAAGTAATTGCTTGTAGAAGACTAAGCAACCATTCATCCCACTAATCGAGAGGTTTTCTCAAAGCTACCTTCGCGTACTACACCTTTAAGGACTGCCATTTTAGGGAGCTCGGTTAGTTTGTCCATCTTTGATTCTATAAGGCTGTGATATCGAGTGCGTGGCTTGAGAGTCGTCTTACAGTGGAAATCGGATCTAGTGCTGTCAGGGTGTCTGACAGGGACTTCCTTTGCCCTTACAAAAAAAAAAACGACTTTTTAACCCATCTTAATGATTCCTACTTTAATTAATGCCCTGACATTAAGTATTTCTGGAACGTTGTCCAAGTGCTGAAGTTCCTCTTACTTAAAAGACAGTCGTCTTGGCTGCATTTCCACCAAATTTGGACCATAGCGGTCAAAGAGCTTTTGCTACCCCAAGTGAACAATCACGTGTCTTGGGTCCCCCAAACCAATCGATAAGTCCTCAAAGGGGATTGGTTGGATCTACGCGATTCCACTACTCACCATAACAACGTTGCTCATTTGATTGGTCTAGAAATGATGAATTCGAGATCATCACTAGGGTATAAAAGGGCAGGCTCCTCGAGAGATTGCCCTTCGTACCTGTAGGCATTCCTGCTCCGTCAGCGTTTGGGACGCCTCTTTCACGAACACCTCTTCAAAATGCGTGAATGTATCAGCATACACATTGGCCAAGGCGGATGTCAGATTGGAAACGCCTGTTGGGAACTCTACTGTCTTGAGCATGGGATTCAACCCGATGGTCAGATGCCGTGTGAAAAGACCATTGGTGGTGGCGATGACTCATATGAAACGTTTTTTAGCGAAACTGGGGCGGGAAAACACGTACCTCGAGCCATATTTGTAGACCTGGAACCTACTGTTGTGGATGAAATTCGTACGGGCACATATCGTCAACTCTTCCACCCTGATGAACTCATTACTGGCAAGGAAGATGCTGCTAACAACTATGCACGTGGTCACTATACCGTAGGGAAGGAGATCGTTGACTTAGTGCTGGATCGTACTCGCAAATTGGCTGATCAATGCACTGGCCTTCAGGGATTTTTTGTCTTTCATTCATTTGGTGGTGGAACGGGTTCTGGATTCACATCGCTTTTAATGGAACGTCTAAGTGTTGACTACGGCAAAAAATCCAAGCTGGAATTCTCCATTTACCCAGCTCCCCAAGTTTCCTCGACTGTAGTCGAACCGTACAATGCTATCCTGTGCACCCACACCACCATCGAACACTCTGATTGCGCAGCAATGTTCGACAACGAAGCCATATATGACGTCTGTCGGTAGGTTCTTCGCATATGCAACAAATTCTCCTTCCATAAGTCACTAATTGCTAACTTACTGCGGTTCTGACCTTTCAGCCGAAATTTAGATATTGAACGTCCGACCTATACCAACTTAAACAGACTCGTAGGTCAAATCGTGAGCTCAATGACAGCGTCCCTGCGATTTGATGGAGCACTCAACGTGGATTTGGCTGAATTTCAAACCAACCTAGTACCCTATCCAAGAATTCACTTCCCTCTTGTCACGTACGCACCTACCATATCAGCTGAGAAGGCGTACCATGAACAGCTCAGCGTTGCTGAAATCACCAACGCCTGCTTTGAACCTGCCAACCAGATGGTAAAATGTGATCCACGCCATGGGAAGTACATGTCTTGCTGCCTTCTATTTCGTGGAGATGTTGGGCCGAAGGAAGTGAATGCGTCGATCTCTTCCATCAAGACTAAGAGAACCATTCAATTTGTCGACTGGTGTCCCACTGGTTTCAAGGTTGGTATCAACTACCAGCCCCCCACTGTGGTCCCTGGTGGTGATTTGGCAAAAGTACAACGAGCTCTTGCAATGATTTCAAATACAACAGCAATCTCTGAGGCTTGGGCTCGTTTGGATCACAAATTTGATTTGATGTATGCCAAACGCTGCTTTGTTCACTGGTACGTCGGCGAAGGCATGGAGGAGGGTGAGTTTTCAGAAGCTCGTGAAGACTTGGCAGCTTTGGAAAAAGACTATGAAGAGGTGGGACAGGACAGTGTTGAAGGCGAAGGTGAGGAGGAGGAGGAGTATTGAGGAGTATTTTATACGCTGTATTGCCATTGGAGGATTTGTTTCCCTGTTCATCAATGGTTACCTTTGCACAATGAGCGTAGTATATATGTAATGTATTAAAGCACTTCCAGCCTTCTACCATTTTCTGCTTGGAGAGCTGCATTGAAATGCTGTGAGAAACAGTGAGGTTGGGTAAGGATATGCCACCACATTTCAGCGGTTCAGCTGGAATTTTTAAAAGATTTTGCCTACTTATTTGCATCAGTAGTATTCTTATTTTTGGGTTTTATAAATTATGCTCATGAAAGCAGATTTGAGTGGCAGATCGCTAGGCCATTGCAGTAAAATGTTTTTAGAGATCATCTTAGAAGTTTCACAGGGTACATCTCCCAGTTTTGCGACTTTTCGATCAGAGAATTCTGGCAGGTCAGGCTCAAACTGGTGATGTGAATGTGATAGAAAAAATGGTTTGTGGAGTGAAAATGCGGCGGTGTTTTATGCCACATAAATTTTTACTACCAAGTAATTGCAATAGAAGTGAATAGTTTTGTTTCTGATGCAATAGCTGCATCGCCGCAAACACACTTCACCGTACACATGCGAACATCGTTAGTCATGCACATATTTGGAGAGTGGATGCAGCATTATTGCACAGCCATTCACTTCCACATCAAAAAATTCCGAGCTTTAAAACAATTCTTAAAGTTGCAGTAAAACGTGAACGAGAAAATCGAATGAAACCTGGCATTTCCAAAGGGAGCATAAAACGAGGGGTAAAAGGGCGGAAACTCTGCACTAGAAAAGTGCATAAGTTGGGGGATTTTAACCGATGGAAAGCCAAGTTATTGTACATATTTTGTTTAGAACTGCCTTAGGATCCAACGAAAGGTGGTGTCCTCCGGTTTTTGCCATTTCTATTGCCACTGTTTTATGACAGTTTAGCAGAAAACTGTTTAAAAGTTACGCAAAGTACAAAAGACGACATATTGAGTAGATTTTAATGAATACGAAATCGCACCTCTTTATAAAGTTTGATGCTTTAAATTCCACAGAGGATTTATGACAGTAGCTTAAAAAGATTTAAACTTGGCCTTTACGAATAAAACAAATGCTAAAGGTGCACCTTCGTTATTTCTGATTTACGGGATGTTCCATGATTGCATTTGCAAGGGTCTACGTTAAATGCCGTCCCACTATCCCTACGTGTAATGAAAGCTTGACATCAAGAATGCAGTAAATTTGTTAAGTCACCTGCAATGATTGTCCAGGAAGCTGTGAAATGAGGAAAGTCATTTAGAGTTGATTTTAAACGTCATCACCCGCCTTCGCACCTCAAGCCTCATAATACCACCCAGTTGCATGACAAACATACGTCTGAATAAACAGCTTGCATGCAAAGAAAAAGTTGGTCAAAAACTGATGGCATAAGAGTTTAGTGAAACGAGTATTGCTGTAACAGCTTTAGTTAAATGCATAAGCAGATATTTCCTATGAACCTTTCTAAGACGTTGATACAATGAAGGACTTTTCAGCATACAAGGTATTGTGACAAAAATCATAATCAATCAATCATAATCGTTTTTATATAATTCCTAATCAAAAAATTAATAATTTGACACCTTTCTTCTTTTTTGGTTTCCATCTGCTCGGCATCAGATTAAGTCAAGTGCTGGAGCATGAAGAACTCAGTCGCTCTTTACTTGTCAAATTTAAGACCCAAATGCATTAAAGAAATAAATGCATGTCGGAATAAACTTCTTTATTGTCTCGTTATTAAGCATATGATGGAAAACACGTTGCAGAGCTTTGCTGATTTGGCACTACAAAGCACTGATGTGCGCACCTGAACACAAGCATTCTAGCGCAAAGAGAAACGTGGATTGATACAAGACTCCCTCGAGGCGATAGGTTACAGCTTACGAAAAAGAGCCAATAAGGTCGGCGGTAGCAAATCCTTGCACTTGTAGCTACAATTTTCTGTTTACCGAGATGATTGCATTTATAAAATTCTCGAAGGTATGAAGTGTCGAGTGGGCTGCATATTTCTCATTCTAGTTGTCCTTCTAAGCATTGCACAAGCCAAAAAGTGTGGTGAGTCATTGATTATAGCATATATTTTGCACAAAAAATTGATGCTCAAGCATATCAAACCAAGGTTTTGAAGCAATGCATGTAAAGGTTAAGAGCTTTGATGAAGGTTTGCTTTAGTTTCTTTGTACTAGACTATAAGTCTAAACTTTGATCCCACCTGTTAAAAAGTTTTTTTTAATTAATTACAACTTATTTTTAAGCATAAATTTAAATGATTCGAATATAGGATGGTAGCATTACTTAACAAACCCTTTTAAGATATTTAGAACTCACAAAGTTAAAGTTGCTCATTTTATAGCTTGATAAAAATATACATAAAAACTTGTTTAAGCAACAACTAATGCTTAATGGTCGGAATTCGTATCCATTACCATATTAAAGACAGAGCATTAGCAATAAATAGGTGAAGTTACTGGTGTTAGGAAGTGAACTTAGCTAGCAAGTTGTGCAAATCAGATCACTTACTTTGGTATACATAACATATTTGAGATAAGGACGCATGCAATTAAGGGCAGTTGTCTCCACTTTTATATGTCTGCGTTCTTTTTGGCCAGCTGCATTAACCTTTAACTCGACAAACTTAAACAATTTGCTTTTGAATAAGTAGGTACGAACTCAGGCCATTGTATGCGAATACGTCACATTGTCGTCAAGCTAAAATTTCAAGTGTCACCCAAAAGCCACAAAAGCATTTGAATAAAAGCTTTCTCACGTACAATTGCAACTCTTTGGATTGTTTAGATCTCCGTAGCGAAAACTTGATGGCAAAATTACAAGATACAATATATTAGAGCGTGTGACTCTTCCAACCGTATTGCTTTAAAAGAATTATTTGCAAGCCTTTCACTTTGCAGGATCTACAAAATGCGAAGATCGCAGTGGATTCTTTTGGAGTGTTGACTGTTGTGATGGGTCATCCGGAAGATGTTGTTACACCAGAAGGTATGTTTTGACAGTGTTTTGCCTAATTATACATGTTTTATGTGACATAAGTGAATCTTATTCAGTATCACTGTGCTTAGCGAATCAATTAGCCGTAACACTTCAAGCAATTTGACAAGTTCTTTAGCTGCTCCAAAGCACCCGTGCATACCTTTCATTTTCATAGGTGGTGGCCACTTATCACAACCATCTGTCTGATTGTTGCTGCGATTGCAATTTTATGCTGCGCGTGCTACTGTTGTCCCTGCTGTTCGTATTTAGCCGACTGTGGCAAAAGCTTTTGTGGTTATTTTACATGCTGCTGTGAGAAAAAGGACAGCTCCGAAGAACGTAAACCACTCAAAAAGTGAAAATTTTTACAAGCCTAGTTTCCATTTTTAAAACTATCTACTAGCATAGAGATTATGATTTCACTTTGGACCTACCTGTATTAATGTTCGAGCCTATACGCACCGTTAAGAAGTAAAAAAGAACTATTGTGGTTTTTAAAAAAACGGTAATTAAAATTATTTAAATTTTTTTATTTCTGTGTTTGATTTGCTGGCTATACTGGGCGCTAAATAATTTAGAACACTAAAGCAGATCAGATTTTCTAGAAATATTAGAACGCATTGCATGTTTGAGACTGGTAAATGTTGGCTTCACATAATGCGGTCGTTTTAGATTCGTAACCAACTCAAAATGGATGCAAGCATATTTATTGTAACCAAGATTAGTAGAACTTAAATAAAACGTTGATGCTTACCCACCACCAGATTAGGTGGTGGGATAAGATTAGAGCCGCTGACTCTTGCAACATAACAGAGTTACACATGTTGTGGTTATTGGTCTTCGTGTCGGTAATATAGCGTTTCCTTAAAGCTGAACATCCACTTATCCTTAAAATTATTGCAGTGGGTCATATTCGTCAATGAAGGCTTTACGCACCACAACGGTATCAGGAGAGATTCCAGAGGATGGGACCTTTCTAAGGTCGTAAAACCTATGCTTTTAAGAGTAGAATACGTAAGTTTTATCTACGGAAGACAATTGGATTGTGGTGTCGAAAAAAACGAATTCGTGATATTAATTCTACGTCACAGGTCAGAAGTGGAATACAGGTAGTGTTCAACGAAAGTGTTTTTTAAATGTTGTCCTCTCGTTTTGTCAACATCTACTTATTCGCTCTCTCATTGTGCGTTTTGTTGCGTGAACTTATATAAAGGTGATAGCTGCCGCACTCATCACCTCGTCATCCAAAATCAGCTCTTTGTTGTTTAACAAGAACTGTAGCTTCACATCGATGCTTTTGGACAAGCCATCTAGAGTGTCAGTTGAATGTTTCCTCTCTCCCTCTGCATTCACTGAAGCCTAGATTCAAAGCGAAATCGCTCCACAGGAATTAGGTCAAAAACAGCCCATTAAAATATTTTCTTAAAAAAATATGCTACTTATTGAAAAGAGTAGGTAAATATATCAAGACTTGGATGATGAGATGCATGCACCTTGACGCACTCAAATGCTGCTGAGTTTTTGAAGTAGTAGGAAATTATATCTCCAGGAGGCAAAATTTTGGTAAAAGATGAGCACACACAGCACTTGCTAAAATGTTTTACAAGTCCTTAAAGAAGGTCATGATCTCGCTGCTAATCTTGGCTTCTAGAAAGCCAGAGAATTAAACACTGGCCAATAACTCATGTAGTCGGCTATTAATGGAACGAAGAAGTAGGAGAGGCATTCGAGAGCCAAAAAGTGGAGTTAAGGAAACAAATTTAAACAACAATGTTAAGGGCTGAGCCTCATATTCAAGAAAATGGGACAACCTTACACCCAATTCATTGGTCCTAAATGCGTAGTAGGAAGACACAGCTTCAAGCCCCGACAAGGATCTTGTCGTACAGTACCGTAAGGATGAATTTACTCCGTGCTTGTCAGCCCTTCACCAGGTGACAATTAGTGGCACACTGTTGCTTCTGCAAATTGTCATGCATCGTAGAAGCTTTAAAAAG